GGGTCAATTTCAAAGTACTTTTTGATGATTCCTAAGACCTATAATAAAAATGAGTTCCACAAGACATAAAGATACCATCCATTTCACCGACGTGCCATCTTTCCCAGTTTTGACATCATACAAAACACTTTGTATTGAAGTTGTACTCACAATATTAAAAGATTTGTTCCTATTTTTATGTGAAGATCTTGCAGTTGATATAAAAAATGAAGATTGAATTTAATTTGAAGAGTTCAACCTCATATTGCAATAGTCTATAAATAAGAAGTTGTTATGACCTATAATAGAAAGCATTCACATTGAAGAAACTGTGGGTGCAACATAAGGATTAGGGTTTTTGGAGTCTTTTAAGTTCTTTGTGTTTGTGTTCTTTGTATGTCATTCATGTGTCTTTTGATGCATTGATTTTTACTGATTCTTACTTGATTTTATATTAAGTTATTGTTCTCACTCATGAGCTTTTAAACAAAGAGTTGAGTATTGTTCTTAGTTGAAACTTTTAAGAAAAACTAAGTGTTGTTTATTTGAAGTGCAATCTTCTATCTGGTTCTTTAAGACTAGTCATAAGGTGTGTGGATGTAGGTATCACTACGGTGATTGGAAGTGAGAGGAGGTTCTCAAATCTAATAGGTTCCTAGGTAGAAGTTGTACAATATAGTGATTAAGAGAGAAGTTGTAAACTGGGATTATTTAGGCTTTGAACTAATATTATCATAGTGAATTTCATTCCTGACTTGGTAGCCCCTAGAGTAGGTGACGTTGCACCAAACTAGGTTAACAATTGATTGTGTTGTTTAATTTTCTGTAATTTATCTTTCAACATAATATGTGGTTTAGTGTCAATAGATGTCATAATATTTGTCCTGACAATATGTGGTTTAGTGTCAACAGATGTCATAACATTTTAAATATTAGGTTAGAATTTTGATTTCCTTTAGTTGAAATAATAAATATTTTAGAATATGATTTTAATTTTCTTTTTTTTAATATTCCTTTTATTCAAAAAAATCACAACATTAGAATTTTTAGTCAGTTAATATTTATTTCCCTTACATGAGAATATATCATAAAAAAATAGGTTCTATTCTCTTTTTGATTTCTAATTCTCTTGTTTAATATTGGTATTATTTTCTTATATTTTTTTGTTGATTGTTTTGGTTGATTTTAACTTGTCCCTTTTGGCATTCCGTTTAACGATTAAAATTCATTTTCTTGATCGTTTCATGTTGACATAGACTTTAGACCCGATCATTTGTGTAACAACTTTAAGATATAATTTCCCTTTTACACTCATTATTAGGTTCACCTCTGTACATAACAAACAATTAGGTTTTTAGTCTCCCTCTTAACCTTTTCTTCTTTTGTAATTAAAACTTAACATTCACAAATCAAAAATTCAAAAATATTTAATCATTACTTGAATTTATTTTAAAACTCGCAAAACACTCAACCGATTAAAGCTTCCCCCAAAGGGCATGTTATCTCCATTCTACCGTGATACCGGTCGTGCCTATTGTTAGAATGCGTGCGTTAATGTCACCCACTAAAAAAAACACAAACAAACCAACCATTTTCTAGAGGAACTACGATGTTCTGATTCCTTCACTGCATACGTAGGCAAAGGGTCGCGAAACCCTCACGAACGCAATAATAAAAAACCTTTTCTTTCCCCTTAAGCAAGTATATTTGTAGATAAATACACCCTTAGAGACAAACAAACAAAATGGATCTCGTTGAGTACAACAGATGTGAAGGATGCTAATACCTCCCCCTCGCATAATCGACTCCCTTACCCTTTCTCTTGGTCGCAAGACCATCTTATCCATTCCCTTGTGGTTTTATCGATATTTCCCCTTGGCTCTGTGTTTTCTGCCGGTAGCTTCATAAATTTACTTAGAAACTTTGAAAAAACTAGAAAGTATAGTTTGGGTTCTGCTGTTTTAGCCCATCTATATAGTTCCTTGTGTAAAAATGCAACCAAGGAAAAATGTATTTTTTATGGATGCGCTTTCTTACTTCAAGCCAGAGGTTGGTGGAGAATAGAGTCCCTAAACCCCGTCAACAACAACTCATTCGGTTTCCCATACGCAATAAAGTAAGTCAATAACTAATATCATTTATTATTCATTTGTTCACCAAATATATGATAAAAATAAACTATTTTACAATTCCTTTAGGTACTCCGTGACGGGTATGGATTACGGAAAGAATCCAAGATTCAATGTCGCTCTATTACAATCTATTGGATCACCTTGGCCTAGATAATGTACGCCATACCTTTGAACTTTTCTACTTTTAAATTATTTATTTATTACGTTTTCATTAAGCTGATTTAATTTTATCCACAGTTTATTTAGAGGCCATATTTGGGTTTGGACCATGAACCAAACTCCGAGGATGCAGCAATTTGGGGCGCAAAGACTGCAATCATACGGTTCAATGTTGTGGAGATGCACCACAACGACCGTGTCAAGGTGCAGTTTGGAATACATCAAGAGATACCCTACGATCCAACTTGTTTGTCCCCTGACATCTCAAAAGGGTCGACGCCCAATAGGGTCTTACCAATTAGACAGATTTTGCTCCAGAATGGTGTAAGATATGGCAGAGGCATCACCGATATGTCTTGCAATTCCCAATTTTCCTCAACCATTGTAATATGCGACACACAAATCAATATTTAGCTTGGTACATATCTGTTAGTAACCCAGATATTAACGTCTCTCATCCAAGGTATTTGGTTGACCCACGAACACAATGGGCACAATCCTCATTTCCCCAACAACAAACACAACACACATCAACCTCCCACCAACCTCCCCGACGAAACCGATCCACAACAACCCAACCACAATCACCACCACAATACGAATACACCCACATGCCCCACAATCAACCACAATCACCACCTAAATACCAATACCCCCCATATGCCCCACACTCAACCATAATTTCAATCACAATACTAATACACCCGCATGCCCCACACACAATTTCAGTCTTCTCCATATCTCAATATGGGCCCCTCAACATCTAACCTTAGCCCTGATCTGAGATTTTTCCGAAGAATATGACCCAACCGACCCAACTTACCATCAACCACCACATCACCAAAGCACCTAACATTCTCAATACCAAACACCCCAGAATTCATTTCCTTTTTACCCCCTTACTCAGACGACCAGTGCTATAGGCCAACCATAGAACCCCACCCACCACCAAGACGACCAAAATTTGAGGGTATAGGTAACCGACTGTACCAAAGCAGATCTTCTAGATATGAAGATCTAACCGATTTCATGGATCCGGAACGCATTGACTTCGATGGGCCGTCGATCTTGCCACAATAGGAAACGTGACAAAACCCACCACGAGACAGGTAAGGACACAGATGCGGAACCGCGAGTCGTTACCGTGTTCCGAGGGACCACTAATTAATTTGTAATTTTTTTATGTAATCGTTTTGTGTAATCGTTGTGTAAATAAAAAGTCGGATTTTCGTGATCCTATATCGTTTACATAATATCCCGTATTTAAAATAAAAACGAAAAAAATTGGCCTCCCTTTGCACTAAGGCGCCGTCTCACTTGGCTTAGGACACACTTTTCACACCTAGGTGCCAAGTGAGATGGCGTCTCCCCTTTAATTTAAGGTGTATGCGCTAAGTGAGATGACTCCTCCTTTGTAGAATTTCTTAAAACATGATTATTTGCGTAATTTTCTCTAAAACATGATTATTTATGAATTTTTTTTTCAAAATCTAAATATTAAAAAAAAAAAAAAAAAATCCAAAACTTGCTCTATTAAATCTTAAAACAAATGCACAAAAAAGTAGCTCAAAACTTGCTCTATTTTTTTCCAACAAACTCCATTCAATTGTTAACCCAATTTGAAGTGCACACAATGAGATACAGATGGCATATTGTTAAGTACCAGTGTTGCAATAGTCCTGAATTATGAGAGATGAAACCTTCCTCGAGTAATTCCATTCATTCTGACCCAAATACAGCCTTTATATTATCCATTCTCTATGCTACCAGCTATAGCTACTTAGGTTTCCTTTCCCATAAACACATTACTAGTATACATCATACATTCATTGTTTTCAGTATTCCCTAATTCATGCACTCAACCTCCCCTGAATATCACCACTACTATTTTCCAAACACTCGGTGCATCTACTAATTTTACTACTAAGACTAGTTACTTTATAACTTTGTGTTGTATAGAACGATATGATCCAACTATAGCATGCATTTATGTGATATTAACTGATTTGTATTAACAAATAATTTAAATAAGTTGTTGAAAAATTGTGTTGACATCATAGTTAAGTAGATAATACCTGTCTTAGATGGTGCTGTTGAAGAAGTTATCAATTTTCGGAAAAGTTGAAATGTTTCCTCTGCTGCATTTTGGATTACACTTTGTTGTTGCTCTTTCTCTGTACTTCAATACATGTGAATTCTAATCAATACAAATTCTGTCAGATTTTAAAAGTAAATAAATATACTTTTGCATCATGTCATTAGGCCGAATTTTGATTTTTTTTTTTTCTCTTCTGTAAAATTTAATTTTGACAATTTCACCTTTGTTTTATTATTTTTTTTAGTATTTTTTTTCTTTGGGGATCTCAAAGTTTAAATATATAAAAAAATATTACTTTTTTGACAATTATATATTAACCCTTATTTTTTGAAAAAATTATACATTATTAAAAAAAAGTACATCTTAAAATTATTTAAAAAAAAAAACTAGTTGGATTTCATCATAGCATACGTCACATAAAGTTACTATTGACTGTGGTATGACTCAAGAAATCAAATTGCATTCCAAAATTGGAAATAAATAGATGTTCACGTCTTTGCATCATATTTTAAAATATAAAAATTTATATATTATTTTAATGTTTATCGGTTCACCCCTATATATAAGATTGCAAGCTTGACATTATTAGTCTCTAACTAGTTAAAATAATCTCAAAATTTCTTCACAAAACAATGTCTCCCATTCTTCCTCGTGTTCTAATCGTTTCTAGACGAACAATTCGTAAGAACAAGTTCGTCGATTTCGTAGGTAGGTCATTTTAATTCATTGTATTGAAAACCATATTGTAAATTTGTAATGTTGTAATTAAAAATGTGACTAAAAATTATTTAATTTTCAGGAGAATATCATCTTGATCTTATAGTAGAAAATGGTGCGGTACCAGTGATTGTACCTCGTGTTTCAGGTATAAACATGTTACTAAGAAGTTTCGAACCGATTCATGGTGTTCTTCTATGTGAAGGAGAAGACATAGATCCATCATGGTATGAACAACAAAATGACACATCAACATGCACTCTTTCCCACGAAGAGTTAGAAGAAATCAAAAACCTTCATTCAAGTGACACAACAATTGATAAAGAAAAAGATTCGATTGAGTTAACGTTAGCAAAGCTTTGTCTCGAAAGAAACATTCCTTACTTAGGAATTTGTAGAGGCTCACAAGTTCTTAATGTTGCTTCCGGTGGAACCCTTTATAGGGACATAACAAAAGAGCTTTCGAAAAATAGTGAAAGTAATAATTATGTAATGCATATAAACTATGATGATTATGATGGTCATAGACATGTTATTAAGGTTGTTGAAAACACACCTCTGTTTGATTGGTTTAAGGATTCTTTGTTGGAGAATGATGAGATTTTGGTTAATAGTTATCATCATCAAGGAGTTAAGAAATTGGCACAAGGTTTTGTTCCAATGGCTTTTGCTAATGATGGTTTAATTGAAGCGTTTTATGATCCTTATGGTTATAATCCAGATGAGGGTAAGTTCATTATGGGTTTGCAATTTCATCCTGAGCGTATGAGAAAACCTAATTCAGATGATTTTGATTACCATGGATGCACATTTGTTTACAAGGTATGCATTGTTAATTAATTATAAACATTAGTCTTAATTTTGATGAAAAATTTTGAAAGTTGATTTTGTGGAAAAATATGTAGGAATTTGTGAAGGCAGTTATTGCTTATGAAAAAAGACAGAATATTTTAACATCAGTGCCAAAACCTATGAAACTAAACAAGGACATGAAGAACAAAAGGAAGATCATTATGAGAAGTTTTTTGGTTAGGAAAAATGTATACACCAAGGGTCGCGATAACCCTTTCTTCCAAGAATCAGAACTTGAAGTTGGAGCCAAATTTCTCGAGGTAAAAAATTGCATTCACAATTGTATGAAACATTGAATGAAATATAGTTATTTTTAGGATAAATTCATTAGAAAATATTATGATAAACATGAAATTTCCACCGACATATTTTCATTTTGGACTATCCAATTATAGAAATTAATGTGACGTATATATAACACCATTTATTCGAATTTTTACTCATGTAGTCAAAAACGGCTTTAAGTGTTCAACAAGAGAACTAGTTAAAGCAAATGGATGCAACAGTTAAGAATGCAAAGTCATATGTTGAGAGATGGAAGCTAAATGAGGAAAGAGAAAAAATGTCAAAAAGTGTGATGGAGAAAATGTCAATTGAGCAATTATCTGACCTACTTTCTTTCTACCATACTATGGGGCACATTTGTTCTCAAATATTGGAAACAAAGTTACATGATGTTGTCAATGGCAATGGTTGAGTAGTTCATGTACTATGCTTTTATTATGTTGTGGAATTCACATGAATCTTGGTTGGTATGTTAACCTTGTGTACTTGTATATGTCAAAATTCTTTTTCATATCTATTCCCTCTAATTATTATTATAAGTAAAAAAATTTTTTTATGTATATTAAATAATAAATATATCTGATTTTTAAATATATTATTTTTAATAAATTTAAAAAGATAAATTTTATTTATAATAATGACATGATAGAGCATCTTTCCCTCTGATTTCTTAATACCAGTTATATCGGTTGTTTTATAATATGCCATATTTATTCATACAAAATTAATTTGTAAGATAAAAAAATTGTCTCTTTTTGTAAAATGATTTGATTTTCTTTGACAAGGATTATAACTTCATTTTCAAGATAGGTACAAAACCCAATCTTAAAAAGGGCGATATATTGCATCTTGTTCTGGACTGGGCCCACCTTGGTCCAAAGCACAGATAGGACCCAATCCAAGCAAACTCCTCAGGAAATGTTCACCAGCGGGCCACCATCGACATGCCCGACAACAGACTGTAGCCACCTAGCCCGCCATTGTCCGCGACATGCAGTGTCCCCGACCAAGGGAACTCCAGCTCGAGTCCTGCTCGAGCACCCTCCCCGTAGGGCAGATTCTGTCCATTCTGACCGTTATCGAATCCTCTAAATTCTGGAAAGACCGCGTCTTCGTCCCTCCTCATTCTTCGCAGAGCACCACCAGGAAGGGGACCACGTATGGGACTCCACTACGCACGTAGAACTTGGCAGTTCCTTTATTGGTCCAATTCTGGTCAGCCCAATGAGGGGACTTTGGTCCAGCGCTGGGGGGCTATAAATACCCTCTGTTTCCAGAGGGTCAGGTATTCATCTATTACGCACCTATACATTTTTTGCCTGCTCATTCTGTCTCTCATTTTAGCATCGGAGTGTCTTGCAGGTACCTCCCCCATCTAACTCAAATTCTGCTCGAGCCAGTCGTGACGGTCCAAGTCTGACCCGATAAGATCAGTGGCGCCGTCTGTGGGAAACTAGCTTCCCCGTCTTGCAAACTCTCGAAGACCAACGCTCAAAATCACCTCATACCGTCATGGCTGACCAAGTTCGAGATGACCAGAATGTCCGCGTCGTCGACGTCAACAACAACCTCGCGGATAAAAACGGAATTCCCGACAACGTCGACAATCTCGACCATAGCACACTCCCCGGGGGCACCATCCCCGGGCCCTCGATCCACCGCGACGGAGCTACTGCCTCATCTTCTTCAGTCCCTCCGCCACTCGAAGAAGACAATACGGCTCCCCCAAACTATCTAGCTGCCCAATTTCAGGAAGTCCCTGTCCCCGCCGGGGCATATGCCACGACCCGCGCACTATTCGCGGCAATCAATCAAACCAACTACCTCATCTTTGCCCAGGGGGGAAGATTGAGGGCGCTAGAAGACGACAGAAGACTCGCGAGGAGACACAGGAGACCTCAGACCCCACCTCTTCGAGTAACAGAGGTACATCTCCCGTCTCCACCGCGGAGACAATACAGAGACACCTCCCGAAGCCCGTCGCCCCGACCATCGGGGAGACGACCCCCCTTGGAGAGGCAACCCGTCATTGAGGCCGGAGGGCGCAACCACGGCCCCATACGGCAAGAAAGAAGACACCCTGGAGACAGGCACGGGAGAATAGACCAACGAGCATCCCGCTCGAGGGGCACCCAGCACGACCAGGACCATCGGGCCCGACAATATCTCAGGTCCCCGTCCCTATCCCCAGAGCGAAGTGACGAGGACGACCCCCGCGGTCCCCTTTCACAAGCCATCATGGAGGCACCCATTCCCCCGGGCATGGAGAAGCCTCCACATCTGAAAGAATACGACTGAGTCGTGGACCCAGTCGACCACATAGACGGGTTCGAGGCTATGCTGCATTACCATAATGTCAGGGGACCCATCAAATGTCGATTGTTTCCCACGACCCTCAGAAAGGCAACAATGGATTGGTATAAAGGTCTCGCCCCGGGATCAATCACCTCGTGGCGAAACCTGAAGAATTAATTCATAAGTTCGTTCACCGTGTCTCGGTGACATCCAAAGACCGAGGCAGCACTCGAGGCCATCATCTAGAGACAGGATGAAACCTTGAAAGAATTTATCAATCGCTTCAATCGCGAAGCCATATAGGTCCCTTGCGCGGACCACAGGAAAAGATACTTGCTGGAGAGGGGGCTCCTCCCCGGCACAGAATTCAGAAAGGCGGTGGGCATCGAACCACCCCGAACATTCGATGCTCTCCTCGAGAAGGCCCAGGCATATATGGATTACGAGGAAAGAGAAGCGGCCAACAGAGCCCGGGACCCCAGAACTCGCGGATCCAGTAGCAAACTGCGCCAAGAGGTCTCCCCTCCTCGACGAGCCGGGGAGAAAATAAAAGAGGACAGACCCCGAGAAGTCCGAGAACAGAGAGGACCCTCGGGGCGTTTCATAGAATACACTCCGCTCACGGCTTCCCACGAGCGCATCTTGGTAGAGTGTGCCAGCACGGATTTCAAAGATGGCGGAGTCAAGCGCCCCCGACCAGCTCCTGCAAGGTTCGAAGTAGACAAGAGCAAATACTGTCAGTACCATAGGAGCCATGGTCATCTGACTGAAGACTGCGTCCACCTCAAGGACGCCATCGAAACCCTCATCAAGGGAGGAAGGCCCGCCCAATACCGGCGAAACGACGCTCCTCGTCGCGACGCCCGAGAGACGAGAGAGCCGGAGGAGGACGCCCGACCATCTGACAAATCGGTCCCCATCCAGACCGCCTTCTCCATCACCAGACCGGAGGACTTCTACGTCCCCGAACACCTGCAGGAGCCGCTCACGACACACAGCAGGTGGGAATACTTTCCCTCCACCATGGTCATCAATGGTGGAGGATTCAACGACCTAACCATCAATTCAGCCAAGAGGAAATTGGATGAACTGGTCGAATCGGCACCTCCTCAGACGGTGACCTTTGAAAGGGTGAAAGGTAGGTCGGAGCCTATCACCTTTTACCTCGAAGAGCTCCCAGGAGGAGCCCCCAATGCGGTCATTCCTCTTCTGATAAGAGCAAGAATGGCTAACTTTGACGTACACCGCGTTCTCATCGATGAAGGAAGTTCCGTCGACGTGATGTACAGTCAATTATTCCGGACTCTGCAGCTAGACGACTCGCACCTCTCGCTGTATGTGGGGTCGGACTTACAGGGCTTCAACGACTCGACCTCCAAACCTTGGGGATATGTCGAGCTCATGGTTACCTTCGGCGAGGGCATGACGACGAGGCAGGTTAAGGTGCGCTTCCTCGTCATCGACTGTCCGTCCCTCTACAACTGCATCCTGGGGAGACCAACACCGGCAGAACTGACCGCAGTACCCTCCACCGTCCACTTGAAGATGAAATTCTACACCAAGAGGGCACGGGTCGCTACCATCCAGGGGGACCTGGCCGCTACTCGAAGGTGTTTCAATGCCGCATCCAAGGGACGCGACACGGTCGACACTAGGACAAGGACTGCCAAGAGATCAGCAACGACACGACAGGAGCCCGACAAGCCAGAGCCTATCAAAGCAGAAGAGCAGAGAGCTCCCCCAAAAGTCGACTCCATAGCTCTGGACGCCCGCTTCGATCAGGACGAACCTCCCAACGGCGAGTAAATCCCCCTCCGACCAATTCCGGACGGGGACTTCGAGCTCGTCCCCCTTGGCGAGGACCCAAGCAAAGGAGTGAAGATTGGTACCGACCTCCCCGACCTGGCGAGGAAGCAGATCAAAGCCTGCTTGCGCGAGAATGCCGACTTGTTCGCGTGGAGCGCTGCAGAGATGCCCGGACTCGACCCCGAGGTCGCCTGTCACCGTCTCGCCATAGATCAAGCCGCTAAGGCACTTGTACAACGTAGGCGTAGGCAGTCTCCAGAGAAAACAGAGGCTGCTGAAAAAGCTGTAAAAGACCTCCTAGAGGCGGATTTTATTTTTGAAGCCCGGCATTCAACCTGGCTGTCAAATGTTGTACTAGTTAAAAATAATAATGGAAAATGGTGGATGTGTGTTGATTATACTGATCTTAATCGGGCATGCCCGAAGGATGCTTTTCCTTTACCGAGCATAGATATGTTGGTCGATAACTCAGTCGGTTACAAAATACTGTCGTTCATGGATGCCTATTCAGGCTATAACCAAATCCCAATGGCCATGGGCGACAAGCATTACACTGCCTTCATGACCAGCTCGGGCAACTATTACTACAACGTAATGCCCTTTGGACTAAAGAACGCAGGGGCAACTTACCAACGTATGATGAACAGAGTGTTCCATAAGAAAATCGGAGACATGCTCGAGGTTTACATGGACGACATGATCGTCAAGTTCCGGGCATACACCGATCACGCTGCCCATCTCAAAGCAGTCTTCGCCCAAGCAAGACAATGCAAGATGAGGTTCAATCCCGAGAAGTGCACATTCAGGGTCAAGGCAGGGAAATTCCTCGGGTTTTACCTAACAGAACGAGGAATTGAAGCCAATCCCGAAAAATGTCGAGCCTTCTCTGACCTCCTGACACCTACGTCGAAGAAATCAATACAAATCATGAACGGCATGCTTACCTCACTGTCCCGCTTCGTCGCGAGATCCGCTCAACACGACCTCCCCTTCTTCAAACTCCTTCGCAAAGAGGCAGCCGTCGAATGGACAGAGGAATGTGAATGGGCACTGCGTCACCTAAAACAAAGTCTATCCCAACCTCCTGTACTGTCTCGA